TATTGACAGATGATCTGAACACAAGTGGACAAAATGACCACGCATGATCACGTTTACACCCGGTAGTAACTAATGTTTCTACACTGTGACCACTTGTTATTGATTCAGGGAGCTCTTTTTTTTTCCGGTACGCTTGTTACCACTTTTAGCTGAAGAGTACATTGAAATTTTTCCTTATTTCATTTTATTCAAATAATAGTATTTGTTCACTTACTTGCATAGAGAGCAGAACTTATGCATGCTATGAACTTATGCAAATAAGCAGAACTTATTTTAACCCTTAAATTGAATTAAAAAAAAGCTTCAGATTATTTTTGGATTTGCTTTTGACTTAGTTGAATACAAGCATAAAATGCAGTTGTAACTTTTTCAGTAATTATTTTTTCAAAACGATCTGATTAATAGCTTCTCGTTAATGAATGAATGTCCAAACAGTTTCACATGTTACTTCTATACTTACAACTTTTAAAAATAAAAACAGAGAAATTTGAAAAGGACTTTTTTTTTTTTTACACATTTTTATTAATATTCATGAGAATACATTATAGAATTGATAAAAACAATTAATGAATTTCAATTTAATCGAGCTCCCTAAATTAATTTAAGATGTGTGTCCTTTAAAATAATTTGTCTCTGCATGTAAATGTCAGTCAAACCAGTTAATACCAGGTGTAAATTGGGTCTCATTTTATATATATATATATAGTTTTAAATCTGACTTGTGTTTGTGTTGTTTGGGTGATGTCTTAGGAGCCCTTCACACCTACGGAGGAGCATGTCCTTGTTGTGCGTCTCCTAGTCAAGCATCTGCACGCTTTCTCCAGCAGCCTGAAACCAGAGTCGATCTCCTCCTCGCCCTCTGCACATTCCCACAGCAGTCCTCTGGAAGAGCTCAAGCGGTGGGTTTTTACAGCCTGCTAACATCTGTCAGCTTGTCCTGAGGATCAGGCTATAGACCATTTCACAAGATGTAAACAACACTGGTCCAGAAGCACTTCCTGTTTCAGTTTTTTAACACTACATAAAGGCTGGGATAAAATACAACCAACAGAACATTTAAAACTGAATCAAAAAGTTAAACAAACATCTTTAAGATGTTTTCTTTACATGTGAAATAAAGAAAACAGTTACAAACTGAAACAGGAAGTGTTTTTGGACCAGTGTTGTTTACATCTTGTGAAATGGTCTATAGAACTAAAACATCTGTAAATCTAAGGTGGCATGTCGTAAAGAGGAGCTATTCACCCGATCAGGTGCCGCGGACTTGATTGAACTGTCTTCTGTTTTACTACTCTGTCAATAAGCCTCCACTCTCTGTCTCCCACAGTGTAGTGGTGCAGAGGTTTGTCCAGCAAAAGCTATATGTCTTTCTACAACACTGCTTTGGTCATTGGCCTTTGGACGCCTCATTCAGAGCGGTAAATGTCCTTGAGTGCTCACTGACATTTGGAGCCTACTTTATATGTTGGCAATAAAGATTATGTGTGTTTCAAATCATAGTGAGGGCCATGATGCTAAAGAAATGCATTAAATATAATTCAATGTGTTTATTTTTTATTTTTTTTTTAGATACTAGAGACGTGGCTTAGTTACATCCAGCCCTGGAGATACACTGGGGAAAAAAACAACACTCAAGCAGATGGCCAGAACAGAACAGTTCCTGATAAATGGTATTTTGGGTGCTTGTTAAAGGATTACATGCACTACTGTTCAAACAGTGTGTGTATCAGGGTTTCCGTTGTCCGGTAATTACTGGACATTGTCTGGGAAAAAAATGAAATGTCCGACAAAATTAAATCTCTCCGGTCAAAATCTAACCTATCTAACCTAAACAACGAACGATTCAGTGAGCCGTTTCAAATATGGCCAGGCCTAGGCAGGCTAGCCTTAAAAGCTATTTTCAGAGGCCAGACCCGACGGGCGATGGTGAATCAGGAACATCTTATTATATAGATCAGTTGTGTTTGAAATAATTCCTGCTCAACCCGTAAATAAGTCCATCGATCTGCAAATATTGAGTTTTTAAATGGTCTAGTGATAGATCTTTTGCCAAGCATGCCAGTGGTAATGGGTTCTAATCCACGATCACATTTTTTATTTATTTTTTTCTCATCAAAACTGTATATATTCTTCTGTGGTTACAGTCTATATCAAGCAGTGAAACGTTTGTGTGTATTTTATTTTGTGATTTCACCAGAATGAATAAAGAGTCTCCACAACTGCGATAGATTGAAGAGCGAGTGAAAACTGCGAAGCGAGACACGAGAACAACTGTATAAGCAACTGAGAGCAGTGGCAACGAGCTGAGTTTAAAACCAAAACAATTTAATGCTAAAGCTCTTATTTAATAGAGATGCTTTGCTAGTTAACTGGAGATGTGTTATTTATTTGTTTCAAAAACTGTTGAGTACAAAATGACTCATGACTAAATCGACGCCTATGTTCGTTACAATGTATTGATTGAATAAACTGTGTAATCCAATCGCACCTGGTCTTTGTCATTTACAGGGCATCATTCGTCCAGGAGAATCTGCTTATGTACACAAAGCTTTTCCAGGTCTTCTTGAATCGAGCCATGCGCACAGACTTGGTCAATGCCAAAAACGCCCTGATGATCTTTAGGGTCGCCAAAGTCTTTGTTCAGCCAAATCTGTCAGAGATGATCCAGAATGGTATTTTGGAAAATACAAATGAATGTATTTTTGAGTGGTGTTTCATATTTGATATTGTAAACAACTCCTCATGGATTTTTATTATGATATGATAGTTTTTTTTTATGAGCAAATGAATGAGTTTATATCTCCAGGAGAGCAGTTGTTCTTGGAGCCGGAGCATGCCATTCTCCAACGACAGAACCGTGTCTTCCTGACACCTTCACATGGTGGCAGCTTCCTTTCTTCTCGCCAGCCAATGGGGACGGACGCAGTCTTCAAGGTCAAAAGTCATGTTTATAGCCTGGAAGGGCAGGACTGCCAGTACAACCTGATGTTTGGTCCGGATCTACGGAAAACTGTAAGCTGACAATTAATTCTACATGTGCTAAAAAAGAGTTAGTGTTCCTTGCAAATTTAACGATAAGCAGTCAGCATTTCATGAATGGTGTTACCACAGAAAGGAAAATTATAGACCATGATTTCCTCTGTCAATTCCAGGTGTTAAAGCTCATCCAGATTATTGCCCAAGCCCGACAGACTGCCAAACGGATATCGGATCATTCTACGGAAATGGCTTCAAACAATTCTTTTCTCTCGTGGTTTGGCGTCGGCTCCTTAGATCATAACAACACCTTTAGTGGAGGAGAGATGGACGATTTGGGAGAGGGTGTGAAGAAAACTCACGAGTTCCTGGACAAAGCCCTGGACTATCTCTGTCAAGTATTCAGAGTCAGTCTATTCCTGCTTTTAATTAGAATGTACGTCAAAAGTTTGGGGGTCGGTAAATTTGAACAAAAATATATATATATTGAATACATTTTAAAATGCAATTAATGTCTGTGATGGCAAAGCTAAATTTTCAGCACCATTACTCCAGTCTTCAGTGTCACATGATCCTCCAGAAATCATATGCTGATTTGCTGTAAATAGGCAAATATTTCGTATTAATGTTGTGCAGCTTAATATTTTTGTGGAAAAAAAAACACAAACCTTTTTTAAAAGAAGCACATTAATTTGAAATAGAAATCTCCTGTAACATCATAAATATCTTTACTGTCACTTTTAAATAATATATTGCGTCATTTGGGGGGGAAATTCTTAGAGACCACAAACTTTTGAACGGCAGTACATGTATTTATTTACGTAGATAATTACATAAAATGAAGGGTGAATGAGTTGATTTTGGTTCTCATCTTGTACAGTTAAATGCTGGGCAGCTGTCTCAGCTGATTGTCAATGTAGCGTCTGTAGACAATGAAGAAGCGTCTAAACAACTGCCAGACTGCATCCCGAGTGAGAATGGCCTTGTGTTAACAGACCTGGGCAGGTTGCAGGTGAGTTTGAGAATGGTGAACTTCTTGAACATATTCATTTAGCAAATCATAATGATTTTCTACCTGGTTAATTTCCTTTCTTACAGATCATTAATGGTCTTCGCCGATTTGAAATCGAATATCAAGGAGACCCAGAGCTTCAACCTATCAGGAGCTACGAAAATGCATTTTTGGTTCGATTGCTGTTCCAGATCTCATCCTTTATGAATGCAAGAGTAAGAATTTTGCTTTACCCTGCAGTTATGGTCTTGCATTTGCATTTATTTTCAGTCAGATGTGACCATGTTGTTTGTGTCTTGTAGTTGGGAGGCCACATGGAAGTGCTGTGTTCTCGACAGGACCTCCTGGGCAGACTAGGACGACACTACCTGAGCAGTACCTCGGCTGTGGAGCAACGGCGGAAGAGTCCGGTGACGCGGCAGATGAGGGAACGTCCTCAGCGAGCCCGTCTCAGCCTGCGGGTTCTGGCCAGTTATCGCACCCTCCTCGTTCTCCTCCTGCTCTACATACTTTTTGCACTACTATCATTCGGTGTTCTCTCCAGCACTGGACTCATTCTCATCATCAGCTTTCTCTATGAGCTCCTCTTGAATTTCTTTAATGAAAAATTAAAGACTCAGTAGATGGAGGTTCATCGTGCCTTTTTAATTTTTTTTAATGTCAATACAAAACTTCAAGCAAAGGTGCATGAAGGTTTTTATACACAGTATTTGCACTGAAAGTGTATTGGTACATTTAATGATAAATTGAACCAGGAATGTTCTATCCAATACACATTTTTTTTTAAATGAAATGTGGTTAAATCAGTTTATCAGTCATTGTGTTGATTTAATGGTGTTTTACTGATGTGGTTGTCAGAACAGTCCAAAGTTTGCATTTAACTGGCTGCATTTCATTAAACATAATGCGTCGCATTTGTGTACTGGATTTTCATTGCTGTAGAAACATATGAATCAGATCTTCACGCAATTTCACATTGAATGAAGTAATGCAATGCCGTTGTTAAATCTGTTATTTTCCAGCCGTATTGGAGGAAGTAGTGCTGTTACCATAGCAGCCACTTCAAGATTAAACGTTCCATTCCGAGAGGAGTGCACCGTTTTTGAAACATGTATCAGCAGGAGTATTTGATAAAAAAAACAACAACATAAGTTATGATGCAACGTGACGGTTAAACGTTATCCGCTTGATTAGACGCATGTGACGTAAATATCGTTGTGGGAATCAAACTTGTTTCAGTGAAATGGATACGCGAGTCGACTCGCTGCGGAGGAATATTGACCTCTTACAGAAGCAGCACAGGGAAACTCTGGAGAACTTACATGGTGAAATAGATATTTTAAAACGGCAAAATAAAGGTAAATTTGTTAATATTACAAGAATAATGTTTTGTCCTTTTCGAGAACAATACATAGATGGTTGTCCGTACACTTAACAACAAATAATACATTTTAATTGAGGTAATTTACTGAAAATATGACGAGACCCTAGCTGGAACAGTAATATAACGTTAAGTAATGCTGCCTGTGTGGTTGCTATAGCAATAATCTCTCTGCATGCTTGCTTGTGAGTTTAAGGGATAGTTCACCCTGTTCTGTCATCGTTTTCCCATGTTGGGAAAACCAGCATGATTTGATGACATCATCAGTCTCCATTCACTTTCACTGGAAGGAAAGTTGCAATGAAAGTGATCTGAGTTATGCAGGTTAATGACAACATGAGGGTGATGATGACAGAATGTTAATTTTCAGGTGAAGTTTATCTTTAATGAGGACGGGCACCTGCTGTCAGGTCTTCAGTTACTAGAGGTTGCCTGGTGATGTCTAGCTGTTGAATGAAGAAAATTAAAGAATGGCGTTTGTAACGCTGTGGGTGGCACAAGTATCAGTTTACAGACAAACGTTTTGGTGTTTGTTTTCAAAAGGAGATTTGTTTTGTCAAATGTAGAAAGCTATTTTACTTACATCAAACGGGTGGACGAAATTGAAATACACGAGAAATACACCTGTACTGGTTTTCAAAGATGAGATATTTGAGTCAAATATAAATACAATTTTATATTTTTGTTTTTGCTCTTGGATTAACAATGAAACGCTGAAGTATTTTTAATAAATGTAAGTTTGGGACAAGTTGCAACTTTAGTTTTATAGCCGCCTTTTTATTATTGATCTATGTTGGGTAAAACAATATTTTGATATTTTCCATTTCATGAATTTTGTTTTTAATAATTGTTCTTTTGTTCACTTTTTCTGAAAGGCCATTAAATTAAGCCATATGGCGCATACATTATACACAATGATAAATAAAACTTTACTCTCATATTGAATATTGTAAATAATATTATATTATAAATAAAGTAAATCTACGTCTGGTTTCTCTGCATTATTCATAAATGCATTAAACTGGACATACTAATTATATATCATTCTCAAATCTGCATTTTTTTTTTTTTTTTTTTTACAGATTTGCAGCATAAGCTGATAATGGCTCCTCCAAAGTCAAGCAAAGGTTAAATGACACTTCTGTTCTCTCACACATTTTCTCGATCAAAACCATATGACATTCAAGTAAGTTTATATATTAATATTGTAACTTGCACCAAAATCCCATGACAGGATCCAGCCGTATCCAGAGGCGTAACACAGAAAGCAACAAATTCCAGAGAGACGGAAATAACTATCTGGAGCAAACTTTGGAGGACACCCACTCATTACAAAGCACAGAGATCAGGTGTTTGCAAACATTATTATTATTTAATAACATTGTCTAATTAAATAGTCATTATAATAAAGATCTAATAAGTGGATACATACATTTTGCCTCCAGCAGTTCTTTAAACAATAGAGAAACTAGATCAAATTCTTCAGAGACCCTCGCCACAGACAGAATCGAAGGGCCTTCAGAAGCCAGAGCAGGATTCATCACTTCTCTTCAGCCTCTAATGATCCAGTATAGTCCATTTCAGGCCCCTAGACCTCCCACCCTACAGGAATGTGAGGTCATCATACGCCAACTGTACAGCGCTAATAGCCTGCAGTCCCAGGAGGTCAGACTATATTTCTCAATCTCTCTCACTATACAAGAATGACTACATAATGCATTAAATTTGTCTCCTCTCAGGTCCTACGTGTGAAGGCTGTTCTCAAAGACATTGTTTTCAACAAGAAAATCACTGCTGAGAATTACATTTTGACCAAAGCTTTGCTTGCAGATGGTAAAAGGTAATTTCTTCATCACTACATTTAATTTTTCACATCTCTAAAAGCCTGTCAAGAAAATTTTCCAGTCATATTTCACCCCAAAATCAAAGGATTTTTTTTTAAATGTATAAAATGGAAATAATTGTCTTTAAAATATTAAAAATATAGGTCCCACTTTATATTAGGTTTCTTTAACTGTCATAAAAAATGCAACGCTAAATCAAAAATCAGACGTACGCTGATGTCCAGCAATTAAATAGTACATTGTGTTTAATTTTTCATTGAATGAGATCTTGTATGTTTTATTGATGAGAATCTGACAATTATACACATGCTCCTAAATGGTCTATGGCAGAACTTTTGCCAGGCGTGTCAGAGGTTCTGGGTTCTAATCCACACTCGGATATTTTTTTTCTTATTAAAACCGATGATGTTTATCAGTGGTTGTATATCAAGCAGGGACACGTTTGTGTGCATTTTACTTTGTAATTTCACTGGAACGAATAGAGATGGCTAAAGAATCCTTCGCAGGAGTTTTGGACTAATTTGCTGATTACAATGTGACGCTTTGAGCCAACAACATGAACCTTTTCACAGTATTCTAATTTTCTGAGATTTAGAATTTGGGGATTTCATAAGCTGTAAGCCATAAAATTAATAAATTATAACAAATAAAATTATAAATTAAGTAAGTTAATTTATAATAAAATTATAACAAATAAAGGCTTTGAAATATCTTGCTTTGCATGCAATGAGTCTATATAATATATTAGTGTCACCTTTTAAGTTGAATTAAATGAACTTTTGCACGATATTCTAATTTTTCGAGTTTCACCTGTATGCAAGCACACACACATCTTATTTCTTTTCTTTTTGTGGCAGAGCTGAAGATTCAGAGACATTTCCTCAGATTTCTTTCCAAACCCTGCCTAGAGGACTGTAAGTCAATGCTTGTAAATTTCAAATAAATATTTTGTTTCTAACCTGCCTGACAAGAACAAGTCAGTTTTGGAGATATCAACCTTTGCTCTGTTATTATCTGAACAGACCCATGTCTCAGCCTAGTAAAGCAGAGAAAGTGATCCTCCCTGCCCTCAAACAGACCCTCAACAACAACATAGCAGACAGGCAGAGGAGAACTCTGGCTGTGCAGAGACGTCGTCTACAGAAGACTATGCGCTGAAGGACCAGTCATGTGATTTTCTAACAACATGTATTTGAGTTCTGTGCCACTCATTTACAATTGAAATAGCAGTTTAAATGTCTTTATTGATCAAGCAATGCACAAACAGTTAAGGCTTTAGTGTATTGAAATAAAGAAAAGAGACGATTATTCATGTAGATAAAAAGACAAAGAAAGTATTAATATATTGCCATCATTCCATTGAGGTGCAAGGATTATACTGGGCTGCTAGTACTGATGGGAAAACTTCTAAGCAGCTGAAAGGCAAGCCTGTCTCACGCTTTGAGCCCATGTGTTCAGCAGTGCCGTCACCGAGTGCTTGTCAGGAAGCTGAAGGAGTTTAGAGGTCATGTTCTTATGCACAGTCTGCAAGAAGGGGTTGGCCTCTGAAAATGGAGAGGAAGGTAAGCACGTGTTCAATTCATACGTTTCACCGCCTATGTTTTTCCATTTAAACTGGTTGCTTAAAGGGTTAGTTCAACCAAAAAATGTTGCATTCTAAAAGGCAGCCTAATAAGATAGCATGCTGACAGTTAATGCACGAAGACTCACCATACTGCTGACCGTCATCTTCCCAGTGGGGGCTCTGATCGGGATAGTCAGCAGGAATGCTCAATTGAAGAGGGGGAACACTGGGAAGATTTTTATCATCTAGACAGAGACAGTGCAAGGAGTGAATGTTTAATTTGTACAAGTGTACATGACGCATATAGTGGGCATACGTTTTCAACTGACCTAGTTTACATATGAGATGCACCGTTCCATTGTTGCTGCAAAAGGACGGGTCCAGATTGACCAGGAATTTGGAATTAAGCCGAGCCACCTCCCCTTGAAGTATGTTCGGGATGGTCTGGCGCTCGTCATCTTCAAGCTTCCGTTTACGGGAAGGAATTGAGGGACCCCTGTAATGAAGGAATATATTTAGTAATATGTAAATTTATGAGTTAAAGCTGGGTGGTATATATATATATATATATATATATATACACACACACACAATACACACAATGTTTTGTTGTTTTTTTATGTAAAACTATGAATATTGTGAAGCTGTTTTGAACTAATGCAATACTTAATTTGTTACGATTAACTTATGTTTAATGAGATTATTTAAAAAAATATTTTTAAAACAAATAAACTACGTCATGATTATAAATGTATAGTTTATATAGTTTAAGACTGGAACAATGGCTGCTAAAAATTCAGCTGTGTCATCACAAGGATAAAAGGACATTTTAAAATATATTCAAATAGAAAACAGTTCTTTTAAAAATATATTTGATCAAATAAATGCAGCCCTAGTAACCGGCCTTAAATGAGAAAATATTAATAATTTCAGCTGTTAATCTTACGTGATTGGGGGTCCATGAATTGCTGTCATAGCAGGAGCAAACGTGCGGTAAAGTGAATGGTTGAAAACCGGGGAGCGGATGTTGGCCAAAACAGCATCCAGCAGTGGCTGGCAAAGGTACTGCTTTTTGGTACAGGGCACTGGGGGAGGCGGAGGAGTCGGCTGGAAATAAAAGTCAAGACATTACTGTAGAAATCTGTTACTGCTTTTAAATGAACAGCAACTTAACAGACTTCCTATCTTGGAAAAAAAGGTTACTCACCACTGCCATGTCATTCTTTAGTTTCTCCAATGCTATTTCACACTTCTGAAGTGTTCTAAGTGGACACCTAGTGGAAGACAACAATAATGCAACCTTAATCACAAGTCAAAAAATCAACACTAGAGACAGTGTTCAGCATGCCTGCTTTCCTACCTTGTGTTGGGGTCAGTTAAAATGTTAAGCAAACTTTTCATTTTGCTCAAATCCTTCTTCCTGTCTGTAAAGACCAAACAAAGCATGAGCACTAAAATCAAGGGGGGGAAAAATAAATCAGCACCAAAAGAGAAAAAGTCTCCAGTACCTTCATTTTTGTCTATTTTGTTAATCATCCTACGCAGCGGCTCAATATACTTTGACAGCTGCTTTAGTTTATCCATGTAAAGCTGGTCCTCAGACTGTGAACCCCCAGCTGGACTCATCACAGAGCCTGGATTCCCTGTAATAATAATAATAAATAAATATATAAATCCGCAGGCGCCACAAAAACATAGATTTTTCTCTTAAACTAACATCTGTTTGTTTGTTTTGTGAACTTGAATGTCGTCATCTGTGAAGAAGACAGAAACTAGATGGCAGGTTATTTTGCTCAAGTTTCCAATTGACTAAAGATATAAGTTATTACATTATATTATAAGCACTTTATGTTGTTAATAAAGGTTTTAAATTTGAAAATGTATCGTAGTACATTGCGAACAAAGGTCAGAAAGGTCAGTAAAAATCGAGAATCGAATCGAACCATGACCTTAGAATCGAAAAAGAAATCGAAGATTTAGAGAATCGTGACACCCCTAGTTTGAATGCATTTGCATGAATAAGAGCGGGATCACATGATGTGATAACATAGCATAGCCAAAGAATGACTAAAATTAATGGATGCTGCATTCAATATTTTAACGCATTAATCTGGACAAAAATGTATTGCATACATTAACGTTGGCAGTCCTAAAAAATGTGTGTGTGTGTGTGTGTATAAAAACAAGAAAGCTTCTCTGTACCTGGTGTATTCAGGGGTCCAGGTGAAGGTACCTGGAGCGGGTAGCTCTGAGGGGTGCGTGCAGAGGCAGGACTCTGGGATGGCTGGGGAGAGGGACTGGGTTGGAAACCTCCTGGAGATGGGGTTGGACCAGAGCTAGAGGCAAAAAAAGGTTGAATTAACCTTCTGCAGTTAATACTAGTAATATTGGAGAAAAACAAAACTATTTTACTATACCTGACAGAGTTGGGCTGAGAGGAAGGAGGCTGGGGGGATGGCTGAGGCTGCGGGGGAGGTGGCATCGACTGGGGAGTCTGCACCTGAACTGGGGAGGGTGATGACATAATTTGCTGACCCTTTGAAAAGTTAAGAGAGAGGGAAAATTAAAGTGGGTTCAAAGTAAATAGATGAGTGGTGGAGAGCGGGCACAGCACTGGTGTAGCCAGTTACCTAGAGATAACAGACATACTGTCCAGTCAAGATCAGTTCGCTTTGACCGTAGAGCACCAGTAGATGGCGCCGTTTAACCTGTAGATGATTTCTTCTTATTAGCTTCCTCACTAATGTTACTTATAACAAAATCCAGTCCACTTACCTGTGCCACACACTTTTTAATTTCACTTGCCTAAGTGCTTTCTGATTGTGAAACTGGTTGGGGCTGGGATTGGGGGGGTAAAGGGAGACAGATGAGGGTGGGTTATGGACAGCCTTCGCTCTAGTGTAAAGCCACAGACACTAGACTACGCACCGACTGGGTTGCAGCGCTGAGACCCTGCACTCAGCCCTGCGGTAAATACCTGTGGCATTTGCTGTCCTCCAATGGTAGCGGGGTTTTGAGGAATGGCAGAGTTCGGGGTGGCGCGGGGCAACCGGGGTGGCATTTGCATCCCAGGACGGGGCATCATCTTTGAGGAGGACAGAGGGGACAACAGACATGTCACAAGCAAAACAATAAATGCAGTGCATCAGCGGACATGAGGAAGCACATGCAAGAATGCAAACGGAAATAGATTCGGCAGGTCTGCAAGCACAGATGCACATAGAGTCACATTCAATTCAAAACGAGGCTGTCCAAAAATAAAAAGATGTGCCAGCGCGGCAGTATAGTGAGCTTCTTGTACAGGAATTTCCCCGGTTTAATACAAGTAAATTATTATGTTATGTATTATATTAATTAACCTCTAAAACGGCTGTAAAAATGGCAAAAAGATTTTTTTACAGCTCAAATAATACAAGTTTTTACAAAAGATACATATTTCTCAAAAAAATCCCATTTATGCTATAAACGGCTGACGGTAATGAGTGTGGTAATCAAAAATGACGCAGTTTGTTCTTAAAATTGTATTGAACCCGGAATATTCCTTTGACACTGATTGTTTAGACAAGGCAAGCCACAGGCCAATGGATTTCATGCTCTCTTTTCATATACCAGAATCATGCAAGGCAAGAAAAAATGCAATGGGTACTTGCATCTCCAGCAAGCCTTTTGACTCTAAATTAAAGCTGTGGTTGAGCTTGCCATCTGCTAATGGCTTTTAGAGGAGAGCTCGGATCAAAAGATGGGCGGATACGATGCAACCATCAATACCTCCCATGAAACACATTAAGGAAATCATTTAAAGGCTCAAAGGAAAATATCAGAGTATGTTAACAATCATGGCAAGCTGTAATTCATAAGAGCTTTGTGCAGAGTAACCTAAAAAGGAATGCATTTCTTGTCAGGTGCATGCAGAAAGGGCTTGTGGGTTTAAAACGGCAAGCATGCAGTCTATTAGCGGTTAGCTGCACAAACATGCATAATGCGAATGAGATTAAAAACTAAGGCTACTCAAACTTAAACTGACTGCTCTGCTGTATTTCACAGCTCTGCAACAGAATAGAGATTTCTTGGCTTTAGAATAAACTAGGGCCACACAGATGGGAAAAGGTGAATAAAAGCAACATGAAGCAAAATGTTATCCACCGAATGCTTCCAGATGGGAGGGCCACCCTTGAGGGAGAGATCTGACTAAATGTATTTGGCAAAATAAAACAGGCATCTAGTTGAGCTTACCTTTATCATACATAACTAAAAACCAGGATATATCACAAAATGTGTACTTGCCGCAGCCCAGCCTATTAGTAAGCCTGACGCTCAATGTGCTAGCTGTGCAGCTGCAAATGTGTTTTACATAAAAGCTTCAGTAAATTTGAGGAAAAGGAAGCTTTTATGTAAAACACATTTGCCGCTGCACAGCTAGCACATGAAGCTTCTCACTCATAGGCTGTGCTGCGGCAACTGCACATGCAATGGCGCCGGGAGCTCTGACGTGCGACCAATGAGCTAGCCCTACGTCATTACACATCAGAACCAGACAAAGGCCTTACTCGAATACAAATACAAATGCTTTTTCCCCCTCAACAAATACAAATACCAGCTGCTTTGCACACCCCTACTCAGAATATACTGAATAGGATTTCAAATGATTTTGAAAAAAATGGCCAAACAAAGAAAATCACAAACCCCACATTTAATAGCTAAATTAGGGCTTTGGAAAAACCCTTAAACCTAAGTATGAGTAATAGTAATTGTGGTGTTTGCTAGTTATGAGTAGCTTGTTTGTCAAGCAATTTGCTTAAGTAGCCTCCCCAACACTGGTGAAGATGTCAGTAGCTTATCTGTTCAGAAACATTGAACTGTAATTGCAGTGGCCCACGACTAAACCTCGATTGACAAGAAGAATGATGTATAATACTTCTGTTGTTATTTAGACATTGTGCATTACACTACGGCCCACCACCAGGCAAGGAATAAACAGTTCTGAGGTCCAAAAGATTTTGATTTTGGTAGCATGCAATCACTTCACACTCAAGTCTCTTATCGCAATCCTCACCACGGCTTGCACTGGG